GCCTCTTTCCTTGATCTGAGAATTATCTTGAGTCACCTGGCTAACAAGACCCAGTGCCATCATGCCCCAGTTCTACAGGAAAACCACCATGGATTGTGTGTAGCATTTGGAATTCAAGGACAGCATTGTACGACCAACCACTAAATATGCTTCTTTGTCTCATTTTTTTACCCTTAAGCTGTAGCTGTGTTTCAGGATTTAGCCAAGCCCCAAGCATGGCTTTTAAAGCAAAATACTTGCAAAGGAACTCAGACACTCTGTATGGTTTCTACGTATATCTTGCAAGAGGAAAGTAAAGGAGTCAGGTGAATCACATAAAAAATTACTGCTTATAACATATACTATATTGTACACAGGCACATTATATATATATATATATATAATACTTTTTATATATTTATATAAAATTTATATATACTTATATTTTTATATATAAATATATATATATATTCTTGTTAGATGAAGTTTTAGAGGGAGAATAATAGGAGAGAGGTGTCCCAGCTTTGAGCTTTCATGATCACTGACAGGAATTTAGCCCTTCAGAAAAGCAATTCATATGGGCATAGATGTAAGCTGTAAATACTTAGATTCTTTAAATGCAGAATATCACCTGCCTCTGACTACCTTATTAGGCTGTCTTATGAGTCAGAATGTAAATGCAAAATATTGAAACAAATTTGAAGTATTGGTCACTAATTTTTTTTTTTCTGAGCATTTTAAAGATGTTCCTGCATTTTTCTTCTGTAGATAGACAAATAGATACCATAGTAATCCCCTGCCTGTTGTGGGCTGCTGTGAAAGATTAGTAAGTAATTGGCATTCATTTTAAGGTGATTAACATTGTTTTGCCTTCTCTATTAGAGAATCCTAATCAAATATGATTATTAGGGAACTCCAGAAGAGCATAGGAGCAGAAGGCCCAGGGAGGGCAATGTTTTAAAAAAAAACTATTTGCTGTGGATGGCGGTGCGTGCTTGTAATTCTAGCTAGTAGTGAGGCTGAGTAGGGGATCCGGAGTTGGAGGCCAGCCTGGGGTACATAGGGAGATCCCATTTCAAAAATAACAGCTACGATTAACAGGGTAGTCAGATGTCCTAAGCTACCTTTACTATACACACAGAGATGACATGCCACTGTACCCCCGACCTGTCTTAGGGTTACGATTGCTGTGAATCATGACCAAAAGCAAGTTGAGATAGAACAAAGGGTGTATTTCGCCTATGCTTCCACATCACTGTTCATCACTGATGGAAGCTGGGGCGGGCACTTGCAAACAGGAACTGCTTCATGGCTTGTTCCTCATGGCTTGTTCAGCCTGCTTTTTATAGACTCTAGCACCGCCAGACTAGTGGTGACCCCACTCACAATGGGCTGGCTCTTCCCCTTCAATCACTGAGAAAATGCTCTACAGGCTTGCCTACAGCCAGATGTTATGGAGACACTTTCTCAGCTGATGTTCCTTCCTCTCCAATGACTAGCTTGTGTGGAGTTCACATAAAAAAGCAGCCAGATCACTACTCAAACATACGCAGCTGACTGTCTTTATAAGAACTAGAAATTCGGTAAGGCAGTGATGGTGCACACCTTTAATCCCAGCACTCGGGAGGCGGAAGCAGGCAGATCTCTGAGTGTGAGGACAGCCTGACCTATGAGTGAGTTCCAGGACAGCCAGAACTACACAGAGAAATCCTGTCTCAAAAAAAACCAACAAAAGAGAAAAAAAAAGGAAGGAAGGAAGAAAAGAAGGAAAAGAAAGTGAATGGACTTGAAATTCATTAGCCTGAGAACTGGGCAGTGAAACACACAAGTGAGGAGGAGGTTGCCAAAGGCTGTGTTCTGGGTAGTTTTATGTCAGCTCAACTCAAGCTAAAGTCATCTGAAAGGAGGGAACCACAACTTTAAAAATGCCTCCATAAGATTAGGTTGTAGGCAGGCCTATAAGACTTTTTTTTTAATTAGGGACTGATGGGGAGGGCCCAGCCCATTGTGGGTGGTTTCATACCTGGAATTGGTAGTCCTGGGTTCGAGAAAAAAGAAGGCTGAGCAAGCCAGTAAGCGGCCCCTCCGTGGCCTCTGCGTCAGCTCCTGCCTCCAGGTCATGCAGAGAAGTTGAGGGTTAGCACCATGAAGACAGCCTCCATAGCCTCTGCATCAGCCTCTGCCTTCAGGTTCCTCCCCTGTGGTGGTGGGGGGAGGGGAGCCAGCCCTGAACAAGAGTGAACCCAAAAAATCTCATCTTGAGACCAGCAGGAATAAGGTCCTCCCTGTTCTGGGCTTGCAGAGCTCAGTGCACCCAGCCTTTCAAACCCCACCTCTGCCACCCTTGAGGTGGTCACCCAGCCTGGTGTCGAGGTTTCAGGTTAAAACTTCCTCTCTCCTTATAAGGACATGTCTAACTAGCACCTGGAATTCCTCTTCTTGCAAATGAGGCATTCCCAGCACCTCAGCCCAGGCCAACAATGTACACACACCCCAAAAACTCTCCCCACTTCCCTAAGGTTAATCATAGCCCTTATTCCCACTAATAAAGGAAAGCTGTTTCACTGAAAACCATCTCTGAGGTTTTTTTCTCCTGCACTCATAGCTGCATATGGCCTGCTAACCCACTGCCTGGCTAGGCTTCATCCTTCCAGTTCCTGTGCTGACTTTCTTCCATGATGAACAACGTGGACGTGTAAGCCAAATAAGCCCTTTCCTCCCCACGTTGCTTCAGTCACAGTGTTTCACTGAAGCAACAGAAATCTTAAGACAGGCTGCATCCTCACCTTTGAGGTAAATGCCTCCTCCTCAACACTTAGCCATCGCGCAACATGCTACAAATCAGGTCTAAGCTCCCATGGCCCTATTTGCTGCTCTGATCTATAATAAAGGACAGGGAGTTGCTTGTGTCCGTATTTGGAAACATCTCTTTAAAAGGATCCAATCATGAAGGCAGAGATCACATGTTTGTTCCCTAAGTACCCCAACACCGTCTTCCTGTGTGGAAGTTGCTCCAGTTGCTGATGTATAAATGACTGCGTGAAATAAAGGAGTGAAAACACTCGCCATATAAAGCACCCAAACAAAGAGCTGTTAGTAGAGCTACAGCAGCTGCTCAGACTGGTGGAGGCTGAGGCCAGATTACAGAGAACAAAGAGCAAATGAGGAGACTGAGTGAACCGCCTTCGGTCACATCACACAGGAAAACTCAGTACAAATGTAGAACAGCTTAGTGAAAAAAAGCACTGGCTTTGAAGTCGTACACGGAACTAAACTTGAATTCTGCTGTACTTCCACTTGCTATTAGCTAGAGGATTTTAATAGGAAAAGCCTCAGCCTGCATGTTCTGTTCGCCTGTAAAATAAGGCTGATGCCACTGGGCCCCGGGAGTGATTAATGATTTAAGATGGTGCTGAGAATACAATGTGCAGGTGTGGGCAAGGTTTATGACCGCTGAGTGCTGGCTTACATATATTTACAAGGCCCCTTCCACTCCAAAATGGATAGGTCAGAAATAAAGGGAAGCTTGTGTCTATCTTAGGAAATACACTTAAATAAAAGATTATAATCTTTGTTTAAAGTCACCTATTTATACAAGTTGATAACCAAAATATGTTTAAAAATAGATCTGCCAGGGGGAAGATTCTGGAAATGCTGTGGAGACCCAGTATTTGTAAGGTAATTTGTTTTTAAAGGAGTCTGAATAGAAGTGCCCTGCATGGACGGACAATGCTACTCCCAGAAGCCATCGGTTGTTAAATAAAAAGTCCAGCGCCAGTCGTGGGACACCCCCCATGGGTGGCTGGCCAGGGAGGTCAAAGAGCCCCCAAAACAATACAGGCTATTGCCATCGTTTGGGCTGCCCACCAACCAAAACTTGATGGCTATTGCTAAAGACGCACATATGTTGGCTGCAGGTCATAAAGAGATAAATCTGGAATGCTCCTTGCTGGCTAGCCTGCACAGTGCCAGAAGTACTATGCGCACTGTTTATGAAGAATCACCCATGGTCTTACCCAACAGTGGTCTCGGGATGCTACAGTATTAACCTCCAGGGAGATGTGTCCACTGCGCAATACTGGCATGACTGTTAATGAAGATAACCAATCGCTTTCTGATTATGTTTGAGACCCACTCCACAGAAAGGAAGTCATGCCTGGATGATAAACCCAGTCAAATGACCATCGCTTGAGAGATCCTAGGCCCTGGAAGGAAGCACCTACAATTATTGTCTTGCTAATGTATATAAGTATCCCTCCAATATTCGTGTTTATACCTACGTGCTAGTGCTGCTCACAAGTGGCAGGAAGTACTTCTTTTTGTAGTGGACAGTGGTTAATAACTGGCCACTTACAAAACCATCAATGCAGTTCACAAAGGGCCTGGGGCTCTTCCTTTCCTGACCCTTTTATTGTATACCTTTACAGAATATCACGTTTTCTTGTAGGACTCAGTTTATCCAAATAGCTGTAGCCTAACAAAGTTAGCAAAGACAAAGAGGCTATACATATCTTCAAGTCCGTTTCTGCTAGCCTGAATAGACATTGGGAATTTATAAACCTTATTATCAAACATATGTTGTTTCTAATCTAAAATTTTCTAGAAGCCTGGTGTTAAACATAGTTAGCAAAGACATAAATGGTTAGATATATATCTTTAAGTCAGTTTCTGTTAATGTGAGCAGTTTTTTATAGCCTTAGGAATTTATAAACCTGAATTAGACATACCTTATTCATTAAGTGAAGTGGAAACTTCTGATTTCTTTGAGTCATGCGATGTTTTCTTGTGAGAGGACACGTGATGTTTTGCTGAGCGCTCTCTTGATTAAGGGCCGTGATTCTGGCCAGCTGAGAACATCCTTGGGTGGACTCTGAGGAGAGGAGAGACACAGAAGCCCACTCACAGTGAGTCATCACTTTTTGGACTGTTATCACTACGCTGATCTTCGTGCTTCGACACTTGACTTCGCAGAGAAAAACATTCCAGGGAACTTCTCGAGACAATCCAACTGAGTCTTGCGGCTTTGCTGACTTGTCCTGATCTTTTGAATCATGCTGATTCCTGTTGCTGCTTGGTGTTGGCCTTTGGACTGGACTGCTGGTATCTGGACAATGAAGAGTAGACTCACCCCAAGGAACTACTTCTATAAAGGCCTATGACCCCCTTTACCTAATAACCTTCTTTCTCCCCTACCTCTGGTCAGCAGGTAGAGGGAGGTAGAAGTGTTTAAGAGCCCTAAATGAAGTAGGTTAGGTGAAAAATCTAAGCCTTCAATCAAGCACATTGATTTTATCTAATTTTCTTTCTCTCAAGACAAAAATCCATCCTAATCTAAGATATCTTAGAGATCTGCTTTTTCTCCTTAATCTAAAAGGAGATACAGTGAGAAGCAAGGCTCAGTGGAACTAATAGGTTTATGGGTGCTAGGTTGGTTTATAGCATGTGGTCTTCTTAACCAAGATGATGGGGAAGTTACATGGCAGTGTCCACCCAAGGATGTTTTCTTTAACCTTAGTAAAGATGGCTGTCAGCTACATGGTTGCTAATTACTCCAAGGTGAGCCCATCAGGCACACAACCCTTGTTTTGTTCTTCCTAAAAACAAACAAACAAAAAACCATCTGTTTTTCTAAACAATAGTTGAATCTGAGTTACATATACAGTATCCTATATCAGATCTAGTTTTCTAAACAAGAGTTGAATCCAAGTTATATACAAGTATGGGTATACAGTATTACCTATGTGTAGATTTTTAAACTATCACCTTTTTTAAAAAATTTTAAGCTGACGTTTTGTTACAGACTTTACATATTTTAACCATACCCAATAAACTTACAAATCCTAAAATAAAGAGAATTTAAACAATGGTCTTAAGAGGCTTTTTTGAGAGCAGAGAGCAAAGAAAACATAAATATAAGAGATTTTTTTTTTTACATAGAAAATAGAAAAGGCTTAGAAATAAGAGACTTTTGAGATTGTTTGCTTGTGTGCTGTCAGAAGATGTTACAACGCAAGTTTCAACTGCCAAAGCTCTGCTCTGAACGGTGTCAGGAGTGGTGGTTACTCAATAAAGCCATTCAGTCCTCTCTGGGTGTCAGTCCCTTTTGTTCTGGTGATTTACAAGGGACTTGCTGCTACCAGCTGAGGAGGACTCAAAACCCAGAGGATCTGAGAGGAACTGATGGGAGACCTCGGTGGTGGATCCCGCCACACCTCTAGGTGTCTCGCTCACAGACTCCTGCACTGGATCACTCATCCCAACCACCTCAAAATCCATTTTGTTCCATTTTTCAGCATCTTCCTCCTCATTTTCTTCTTCATAGTCATTTAGCTCAGCGCTGGAAAGCAAAGCTTTCTGGTCCTTGCTCTTTCTTCTTCCTTTGCGCTGGCGCTTCAGGGGTAAGGTGGCTAATTTATACATCACAGGAAACAAAACAGCAGTGCAGATGGCTGACCCCAGACCCATGTACAGGACTACCGGCAGACCTGGGTAGTGTCCCTGAAGAATCCCGATCGCTGCAGGAATCGCCATTTCTCCCAGGGCAGCACCAATGACAAAGAATGCTGTAGATTTCCTGGTTAAGGTGGTGTACTGCTCAACCCAGGAAATGCCGCTGGGAAACGTGGCTGCCATTGAGGCTCCATACACAGATGTCGCAATCCAGAGACAAAGACGGTTCTTGTCAAAAAGCACCAGAAAGAAAGATGAGGCCAGGCTCATCTGCCAATGTTGCTCAGCACGATCATGGTTCCAGGCTGTAAGACTGTTGCAAAGAAGATGGCCAGGCCCCTGCAGGCTGCAAAGGTGCCCCAGAAGATGGAGTTCAAGCCAGCTGCCTCGCTTTCTTCCATGCCAACGTGGGTGGTCTCGAAGGAGAATACATAAGAGCCATAGGTCACCTCAGTTCCCACGTAAAAGAAGAAGAGGAAGAGGAGACAGAGCAGGGCCCTGTGATATTTACCCCTTCGAGCTACCTGAGCAGATGCTGTGGCTTTTTCTTGCTTTGAGTGTTTCTTACAAAACAGACCAAAGAGAAAGACAGAAACGACTAAAACATAGGTGCCGATGGAAGCATATGTCCACAGGAGAGTCATGTCATCGGGTGGCGCAAACAGTGAGCCTGTGGAGGCCTCAGAGGGTCGGTTCAACATTAGAGGGTCAAAATCGGACTCGGTGTGAGCAGATGCTGCTGTACCCCAGGCCAGTTTAGCCAGCAGGGGCGCCAGGACAGCGCCCAAGGCGAAACTGAAGTGCAAGGCCTGCATGTGGGGGG